AATATATGATTAATTTTATTTTTTATTGGGATACGTGGGAAATATATTGGTACGAATGAGTTTTTTTAATGGTTTTCCCATCTTGTTTGTAGTTAGGATGCATCTGGTTAAAATATAAGAGTTTGATATATTTAGGGCCTTTTGAGAAATTGCCATGTTCTATTTGACGTGTGTTTATAAATCTTTCAAAGTTATTCGGGAGGTATATAGCTCCTTTGTATAATGTATTGAGTTTTATTTGAATTTTAACCTATGTTGTCATTACGATCTGTTAGTAAATTCTTTTAGTCTATTTAGAATTGGTTTTAAGCTGTTCAGAAGTGGTAGACTTTTTAGTGTCTTGTGTATCTCCTGCTTCCGTTTGTTGAGAATTATTACGTTTTTATTACTTACTTCAAAGTGCCTTTTCACAAGGCTACGTTTAAATTGCCAGGTGATGCTGTTCTAGTGCGATGATGGATTATATAATTTAAAATTTGTGTATTTAGGCAAAATAAACATCACATCTGATCCTTGAAACCCAAAGGACGAAACATGTCAAACAATTTTTCCATATTGCTATTAATTTTTCTAACGGTTATATTGTATGTGATAAAAGTAATGATAATATTAGCTGCTTCTTTATATGGAGACATTACACATTCTTTGACTCAGCAGAAAAAATATATCAATTTCTCCCATATATACAATGTTTGAAATGTCACCTGGGAATGTATAAATATCATAATACGTAAGACTTACCATATTTTTATGTGGTGTATTTAATTTTTCACGGAACTTGGATTATAATAACAAAATATCCCATAGAAATATTCGCAGGTGATCAAAGAACAAAAATCCTTGATTTTCATTTTGGATTCAACCAAATTCTTTGGCTACCAAATAACTACGCAAAATTTCAAAATTTAATGACCACCATATTCTTCGGATCAGACGCTTCCCGATTATTTTATTTGGAGATATTTTAAGGATAGTGTTTCAATCAATAAAGCATAGACAATTCAGCAATGTAAAGCAAACATCTTTGAAAAAAATCATGATCTTCACCCAGCATTATTAACCATTTTTACTATTGACAGAGCATGCCTGTGTGAAATAGAAAAGGTGGGCATTTAATTGTTATCGATTTACGTAATTAAACGATTCTATAATTCTAGTGTTTTAAATTTTAATCTGTATAAAACTATTTTTAAAGTAATTTTAATATCATTTTAGACAAAGCAATGCTGTAATTAAGCAAGGTTCGACTAGGTTTGATGAGAAATTAGGTGACTGACCCGGTAACACAATCCTAAGCAAGAAACAAGGAATAAACCTCTACTCCTGTTCAAAAGACGAGGAATGGCTGCGTAAGGGAGAGAGACGAACATGTGTATTCCCATTTAATAAACATGCTGAAATTACAATATATGGGATAATATTTATATATATATATATATATATATATATATATATATATATATATATATCTAAATGCCCTGCTAGATATCTATCCTCTGTTAAAATTCTTCCTAGGTATTTAATTTTTTTCACTACTATAATTCAATCTTGCATTATGGGCCGTTTCTTTTGCTGGCAACCATATATTTTGTCTTTTTCCATTTGATGTTTAATCATTTCATCTCGTTTTCCTTTCAACCCTTTCGTAGTAGGTTCCTTTCTTTTTATGCTCTCAACACTGTACGATCTTATCTAATGTTAACTTGTATCCTCTAATAATGAATCCCGACTGAACTTCTTATTCTCTAAGGATTGCTTTACTGTAAAGTTTGAATAAGTCTGGTGAGAAGGCACCTCTTTGTCTTACGTCTCTTTCTATGTTTGTGCATTTACTGAATTCATTGTTTATTCTCATGCGGGCGGCTTTTTCCCAGTATAGGTTATGGATTTTTCTAATATGGCTCGGAAATATATCACGTTTACTTAGCGTTTGAGAAGTTACGTCAAAAATAAAATATTGAACTGTTATTATATAATCTATAAAACATTGGTATACATTCATTTGCATTTATATTGTTCTCTCTGATATTATTCTGAGCTTAAATATCCTATTTTTGTTCAGGTGTCTTTAACGACGTTGCACTATTCTTGTCTTATATGCTCATCCTTCATCAGAATTTGGATACATTTTGTTATGTGGGGCAAATGTTATCATTTTCCATCATCATAAATAAATCTGTTCTTATCGTCCTTACTTATCTAGTCCATTTTTTTTTCTTTTTCTTCAGCTAGATCCATTTTTTTTTTACTGACATTCGGAGTTTATAATGTTATTTTTCTTTATAGTTTCACTGGATTTATTTCTTATTTTTCCTATATTTTTCCCCCTCTATTTTCTATCTCCTATCTTACTCTCCTTATATTCCTTTATTTCCCCATGGTTATTTTTGCTATTTTTAACCTTCTCTTTTTCATTCATTTTTTCATTAAAATTTTCTTCTTCAGAAGATTTCACGTGATTTTATAGCATCAATTTTCTTCTCATTCTACTTTTAATTCTTCCGTTACAGTATCTTTCTTTCTTTTGTTTTATATTTCCGCCATTTTTTCTTTCTTTTTGCTTGTTGTTTTGTATATTCCTTTCTCTGGCCGAATCGTCTGGAGATATAATATTTCCGCCTTATAAATCGCTTTCCTGAAAATACGCCTAAACCAGTCGTAACACACTCATCAGAGACAGTCAATAACACTTTGATTGTAGAGCTTAAACTACAACTAAAATATCAGCAGAATATTAATGCCTTTTTGCCCTAATGAATCGAGATATTTGTCATCACTCACAATAAAAATAGTCGGTGTGTAATTGCTCTCAAATTGATAAACGATAAACACATTTAATCTTAATGAAACGTAAATTCAATTGGCTCTGCTTCACTGCGTGCAGATAAATGAGACAAAATAAATTCACACTCATTTTTCAATTAGCAGTTATGATTCTATGTATGTATGCATATGGTGTTTTACAAATTTTGAAAAAAAAAAGATCGGATAGAAATCAAGGATTACAAATGCTAGAGTAATAGAAATTATATTTTTTGAAAGGTAAAGAGATAATAGTTTAGGACCTGCAACCATTTAGTCTCAAACGTGAAGCAAAAATCCCAGTAAGAGAACTAGAGTACATGCGGTAGATGTCCGCTGTTCAGCTGAAGGCGCGGCTAAATGTGGCCTGCAAAGTTGTTGAAAATGTGTGCACATTCCTCCTGGCGAGGAATCCGTTGCCTTACGATCTTCACAAGTGCTATGATCTCCACAGTTCGTGACCAATTTGAGTGTTCACTTTTATATTTACGCACGCTCTGTCTCTGATATTGAGCACTTTATCCCATAAATATAGCACACCTGAAGATTATATATATATATATATATATATATATATATGCATGTTTCATTAAAAACGACAGACAAGGTACTACAGTTGAGCTTTTTATTTAATTTTTCTTGTGTTCTGACAACTACCACACACTGAACATACATAGAACACACACTCTACTAAGCTGATAATTGAACCATCCTTGATAATGGCTAAAGGTATAGCCGAAAGCGCTCGGAAACACAGAACATTCGAACAGTTCTTACACACTCTTTGTCCAGAAAAGAAAGCTCTTGTCAGAACACAAGAAAAATTAAATAAAAAGCTCAACTGTAGTACCTTGTCTGTCCTTTTTAATGAAACATGCATAAAGGAAGGATTGCTGCCTAATTATACAAATATATATATATATATATATATATATATATATATATATATATATATATATATATATATATTAGCATCTGTTCATCATTATCTAACAATTTATTGATTCCTATTGATATTATTACTGTATAACATAAATAAAATCGCTATAATTAAAATTAACGTAAATTGGAAAAGATTAAAAAAGATTATTTTAATTCTTCACTAGCAGCATGGCTCGGCGTTGCCCGTGCTTGATTCAAAAATTGTACGACTCATACAGCAGTCGTTATCGCTTGACTTAAAAGGAGTGCCCTTTTCCGTGCTGATGTTGCTACATGCCTTACTTCTTGCCTATCTCACACTGCGAATTTTTTCTAAGCTCTATACTAAACATTAATTCTGTTACGAAAAAAAAAAATTAAACAAAATGAACACAAAACGATCAGCTTTAAAAAAAGAACTCGTAACTGGAAAAACCGAATGAAAAAAGAATGTTAACAACAAATACTTTTTCACACCGATCCCAGTTCTGCGGAATAAGAATCAACGTTGAGTTTAAGCAAGCGAATTAGCCAATTGGAGTAAAGTGCCATGCAGATTTAAATTTTTCCCACTTGTGACGAATGCAGCTATCGAAATTTTTTGCCTGCTAGCATGTTAGTTAACATTCGTGTCAGTCAGCTGTTGGCTCTCACCCTGGCCAATAGAATCTTCCTGCCTATTCATGGCAGCCAGCTATAGGATCTCACTCTGGCCAGTAGAAAATGGCCGCAAACTCCATGAAAACTACCGTAGAAGAATGAAAAAATCGATTATTTCCACTATCGATGGGAGTTGGGAAATTCAATATGGGTTTTGCCTTCCCGCTAACTTGGAGCATGTGCATGTAAATTTTGGTGCAAATCCGTCAAAAAACACACACACACACACACACACACACACACACACACACACACACACACACACACACACATCCTGCCTTTTATAGATAGAGATTTACATAAATAAATGACGACGAAATAATCTAGACTGTGGGAGGCAGGCTAAAGGAGCTTAGCATTACCGTTAAGATTAACCAAATTTACCATGAGAATGTGGATCAACCAGGCAGATTACGGATATTTAAATTTGAACCCTTCTCGCAAACAATTACCTCTGTATAGAGAAAGACGTAACAGAAAAGGCATGATTTTTAACATTTAAAAAGAAAACGACCTCTAGTTTTTGCAAAAAAAAATGATCATAAAAATCGTGCGATACTCGAGTACATACCGATATCTATACTCGAGTATATAGCAGTATCTATAAATCTATAAATCTAGATAGATAGATAGATAGATAGATCGGTCAGTTGCAGGTTGTTCGCATTATCTAGAAGTCGTCGTCGGCTCCCAGTCGTGTCTGAGTATCGGGTTCTGTCAATCTTTTAAGTCCTATCTTCACGGTTTATGTTCATGTTTGACATGACTTGTGAGGCCCAGTCGGTGGTGGAATAGTCGTTGACAGTAATCACAGGGGAGAGGAGGGGAGGGGGAGAACGGGGGTCGTTCACAGCGCTCTCTTCTCTTTCGTCGCCTCGTCTCTTCATTCTCCTTCCCCCTTTCTTCGAAATCCGCGATGCCATCGCAAATTGATCTCCTCCACGTCATTCGGTCCCTGGCAGTTTCTTCCCACAAGGACGAGCTGATGTTGGTAAGTGCCAGGGTGCGCTTTAGTTGGTCCTCCTTGTAGCGCGTTTTGGGTGCTCCTCGTGGTCTGGTCCCAATGGCTACTTCGCCATATAGGATTTTCTTGGGGAGCCTGGAAGGATCCATTCTGTGGGCGTGTCCTGCCCATCGGAGGCGGTGGTAGATGATAGTGGCCTCGACGCTGCTCACTGACGCTCTGTCCAGCACTTCTGTGTTGGTGGTGTAGCTCTCCCAAGAGATGTTAAGGATTTGCCTTAGTTTCAGTTGCTGGAAACGTTCTAGTATTTTTACCTCGCTTCTATATAGGGTCCATATTTCGCAAGCGTATAAAAGGGTGGAGAGGACTACTGCCCGGAAGACCATCGTCAGTGCGTGGTTTTTAAATATGCGGCAGTTGAGTCGGCCAAAGGTGGAGTGGGCTGCCCTGATTCTATTCTCCACGTCCTTTCTGCATGTGGGTGTTGATGTCAGAATGCTCCCTAGATACGAGAAGTGATCTACTTGCTCCAGCCATTGACAGTGGTTTTAGTGTTTGGGAGCGGGTGGTGCTTGAACTAATAATTTGGTATTTTCTGTGTTGACCTGCATCCCAAATTGTTCATAGGCCGTGTTTTGACTGCGTCCTCTAGTGACCTGGGGTGGAGGTCCTGCAGCTCCAGTCTGACCATAGTGGGTGGATCATTGCACGAAGTCAGCGAGGTGAAAACTCCATCCCCCGGTACTGAATTCACTTTGTGGTATCTCATTGCATTGCTGCTGTGTTCAGAGAGAGAAACACGTTGGTGCCAGAACACACCCCTGCTTCAGGCCACCAATATTGGGGAATGGGTCCGAGAGGGAGTTCTGGTGGCATACTCTCCGCACCATTCCGTCATGCAGGGCGCACACCAGGGCGACAAAGTCTGGTGGGCTGCCAAACCTAGTAAGTACTGCCCACATAGCAGGTCGGGGTATTTTATTTATCGAAGGCCTTTTTTAGGTCCCAAAAGATGAACATGGCGGCTGTTGCTGTTCGAGGATCTTCTTTTGCATTTGCCGTGCGCAGAAGATCATATCGATGGTCCCGCGGGAAAGTCGAAATCCACACTGGGACTCTGGCAGGACATCTTCAGCGAGGACGAGGAGACGGTCTAGGAGAATGCGGGCGAAGATCTTGCTGGCGATTCTTAGCAGTGATATTCCCTGGTAGTTGTTTCAGTTCTCACGGTCTCCCTTTTTGAATATTGTCACGACCGTTGCATGGCGGAATTCGTTGTGGAAGGTCTTTGTCTCCCAAATCTTCAATATAAGGAGCATGAGACGGTTCCTCATCTCGGAGTCATTGTGAGTGAGGATCTCCAGTGGGATGTTGTCGGGTCCCTGGGCTTTGCCGGGTCTCATGCGTTTAAGGGCTTTGTTGAAGTCCTGGATGGAGGGAGGTAGTGCCATCCAATTTACGGACAGGATGCTGCGGTGTCATTCGCAGCATATTGTCTGGCGTGTTGACCTGGGCGTTGAGGAGGTTCTCAAAGTGAGACCTCCACCTTGACAGAATACCGCGCTGTCGGTGATGGTTGTAGCCCCGTCCATGTCCTTTAGTCCGCCCACTGATGAGCGTGTGGGGCCAAAAATTTCCTTGGTTGTCGCATAAAAGCTGCGCAGGTCTCGTTGGTCAGCGTAGCTTTGTATTTTTGCTGCTTTTCTTTGCCACCAGGTGTTCTGGGCTTCTCGTATGCCTCTTTGGCAGTGAGCACGTTTATTGGTAGCTGTAGACTGGTTCTTCATAGTCAGACGTGTCTGACGTTTAGTTTCAATGACAGGCGAGATGGACTCATAAATCTTATAGAACCAGTCCTGTCTTTTCTTGTTTGAGTAGCCGATGGTTTCCTCCGGTGCACGGGTCATGGCATCTCTGAGGGTGGTCCAGTGGTGCTCCACAGAGGCCTGATCCACTGGCTCTGCAAGGTGACGTTTGCAGGTTTCTCTAAAATGCTGTGCCAGCTGTGGGACGCGGAGATTGCTAGAGTCAAAGCGTCGGTGTGGTACTCTGGCCGGTGTCCTTCTAGGTGGTCGAAGGGTTCTCATGGATAGTCTGGAGATCAGGAGCCTGTGATCCGTTCAGCAGTTGTCCGCTCCTGGCATGGTGATGCGGACGTCTCCCCTGTCTCTGGTTCTGGTTAGCCCAGAATGTGCCATTGTTTGGACCGGGGGTGCCTCCATGTTGTCTTCTGTCGGTTCGGGAGTCTGAAAATAGTGTTGGTCACAACAAGTTCATGTTCTGCACATTGACCCAGTAGGGGTTGATCGTTGGCGTTACAGTTCCCGATACCGTGGTGGCCAATTATTCCCTCTCACAGGCGATGGTCCTTGCCTACTCGGACATTAAAGTCACCCAGTACAATGAGCTTGTCGTTGGCGGTCGCTCTCTGGATGGTATGGTCGAGCTGGGTGTAAAATGCGGATTTGTCTTCATCGGGTGAGGTCAGAGTCGGAGCGTACACTGCAATCAGGGTAATGTGTCTGCCCCGCATGATGGGAATGAAAAGAGTCATTAAGCGCTCACTGATGGTCGTGGGAGCGAGGTTGTGCTGCTGCACGAGCTGGGACCGGATAGCAAAGCCAACGCCATGTATGCGCGGCTCCTCGGGGACCTTCCCCTTCCAGAAGATGGTGTAATCTGTTTCAGCTTCCCTGATGTTGCCCTCCTCGGGGAGTCTAGTCTCGCTGAGGGCCGCCACATCTGTTGAATCGGGCAAGCTCATTGCAGACGAGGGCTGTGCGTCTTTCCGGGCGGATATGGTTCGCCACGTCTTGGAGGGTGCGGATGTTCCAAGCACCAAGGGTAAGGATATTTTTATTGTTTAAACTTTTTGTATTGTTGGGACCGCAGTAGAAGAATTCCCACCAGCCGCGGTAAACTGGCCAGATGTGTCGCCGGGTCCAATGTTTGCCCCACCTTTTCTAGGGGCTTCCCCATGTGGCGTGGGATGCGGTGGTCCTCAGTAGGCCAGACCAGTCACAGGTCCAGCTCGGTGTCACGGCAATGTCACCAGAGAGCGACCGTCTTTGACACGCCGCCTGTGTGCAGTCGTGGACTGAAGGCTTCCAGCGTTCCAGGCCCGCCCCCGTTGCTTGCGGTGCTATCGCCACAGGACTTAGGTGGTGATGATGGAGGTGATAGGATGAAGATAGTTGAAAGAAAGAAAAGAAAATAAAAAGAAACGACAGAATGCCAGTCGCTGAGGATATTGTTTTAGGTGGTCGTGGCTGCGCGACGGCCACGCACACACACTCGACCAGCATCGCTTCCACCGCGGCTCAAGAGAAACGAGACAGGCGACCTCCATGATGCTAGTTGCATCGGGCTGCCGGGTTCTCATTTCTTCAAGGCCCGCTTTATCGCCTGCCCGACAGGCGCTGCCTTCCTCCGCCATCGCCACCGTTGAGGTATTGTTGGTTTTATATCGGAGTTTTCTTCCACCTAGACTTTGCCTCAAGAAGCAAACCCTAAAAGGCAGCAGGGGGAGGGACTGATTATACCGCCAGTCCAATCGGTCACTTGCATGAATTTAGTGAGAAACAGAGGGGACCGCAGGAAGGTAGCAAGCAAGCGATTAGAAGTTAGAAGCTGGGGCGGGGGGGTGCTAGGTCTAGCTTAGCCTGAGACGCGTTCACTCCAATCACCCCCTCCTATCTAGAAGTATATCTATATAAATTCATATTTTTTTTTATTATTTCAAAAATTATTTTTGTTGGATAACCGTGTTTTTAAAAAGAACCCTCATCGATTACTTTTTTTTATTTTAATCTGTGTGTATTATTTTCACTCAATACTAAATGCTCACTCGGGAAAAACTTAATATAGAAAATGCTGGATTTTCTTTATGAAGTTTTCTCGGTTGCACAGGCCGGTAGTCATAATATACGCTGTTTGAAATTAATGTAAATAAAAATAAACAAGACTACGTTTTTCAATAACAATTGAATCAATGACACTATTTATTTATTTATTTATTTTTATATAAATTGCTCTATTTGTGTTCTGGGTACGAAATGAAGCAGATATGGGCTTATGAGAAAATTACGGAAAAGGGTAAACTAAAAACTTGATTGTCTTTGATGCTAACTGTGGTTCAGCGTTCAATGACAATCCAGGACCAAAAGGCGGTTACTCCTACAAAGGAGGATGATTGTATAGAGTGCGCTGAATTGTAGGTTTAATACTCACTGTTTTAAATAATTTAAAAAAAATTCTTTCTTTTTAAAAAATAAAAAAAGTCTCTGTTTTATACAATAGCATTCACTAAGAACAATATATATATATATATATATATATATATATATATATATATACACGTTTTTACGTTTATACGTTTTTTTATAGATACAAATATTTAAGTAAATGCCCTGTTTTATAATGAGCAATAGGAACCGTTCTGAATCTGAGAGAAATTGTAATAGAAAATATGCGTTCCCCTACAGAAATCGAACCTGTACCCTACACCGAACCATCATATAGCCTGACGTGATTTACCGATTTCGCCACAGAGGAGCGTTTCGGTCATCAGGGTCGATTTTACTATTTTCAAACCATAATTCTCCATGATTTTCTCTCATATTTTCATATCTGGTCGATACGTATCCAAATGTAAACAAATGACGTCACACATTATAAAATGGACAAAGTCCGACTATTATTTTAAGACATTTTTTTTTACGTGTATAGGTTCCTTTTATACATACAAATATTTAAGTAAATACTCTGTTTATAATAGACAGTACTAACAACATTTGCCGGCCTGAATCTTCGAGACATTGTCATATAAAATAGGCGTCCTCCGACAGGAATCGAACCTGTACACTATACCGAACCATCACAGCCTGACGTGATTTTACAGTTAGATTTACTGCCAATTCTCCAGAGGATCTGGAGGTTTTTTTACTATTTGAATTGTTAGCGATGATGGATGTCTGATTTTACATTGTTTTTAAACTACAATTCTCCATGATTTTCTCTCGACATTCAGATCTGGAGGTTTTGTGTACTATTTTTGCAAACACTTTAAAATTTAAAATTAAAATTGTTTGCGATGATGGATGATGTCTCCATTACTAAAAAAAAAAAACTTTTGAACAACATTAATTCATGAAGATGTCTGTAGGAACAGACGAAAGCTTGTAGTAAATAACAACTAATGCAGAAATTTATTAGGTTTTGTGGAGGTGACTATTTAATTGTTTCGATGATGGATGTTCGCCATTTAAACCAAATTGCATTAGTTTTTGTGAATAATTCATGTATTTGTAAATTGATTGCACGTTTATTGTAATATATATATATATATATATATATATATGAATGAGTGGTCAAATGACGTTGAATAAAACGACGGTCTTTCCTACAAATTCAGATTCGTCTCTTCCTGGTGAGATGGGGGTCATTTTCTTCAGTAATTTATCTCGAATATTTGGACCAATAGAAGAACTAAAATACCGTTTATTTTAAACGAAGTCTTTTCTCAGATATGAGTATTAGCTAAAAATAATGTTTAGAGTAATAAAATATTTCTACTATGTCGACTGCGTTCGAGATTACAAGGTGATTGTGAATTCCCTGATCTTGTCGATGGCTGCATTTGTGTGCTACTATAGAGATATATACGGTTTGGAATTTAGAGTTTTCTTTCTTCTAGACTGTTTGCCAACCCCGGCTAAAGAGCCCAGTCTGTCCTGCTATTTAAACCGAACTAAGTAGAGAGTAGATGGATTCATGCCTTTCCGAAATGCACGTGCGCGAAAGTTAATGTAGCGTACTTGTCTTGAATCCGAACTCAGTTTTCTGAGTTTTTGTTCGGATCCGCTAATCAATGCACCACTCACACATCCTATTTTAGATTTTCAAGCCGTCTTGTTGTTAAGAAATATGTTCATAGTTTATCAAAGAATGGGAGACAAACACGTTATTGGACACGTGTTTTACTTGCGATGAGCTTTTTCTAAATGAAAATATATTTGGAAATTCATGCGTTTCAAATACCACTGGCACTGAAAGTCAGACGTCACGTATTACCTGGAAATAATCGTGTTTGGCTTTCAGCTCTCGAAGTGCCATCTTCTACCGATTTCTGTCAATGAGCAATGCGCATGTACAGTTTGTAGTTTTCTATACAGCAAGAACCGGTGAGAAGTTTCTGAGGCCGATCGAGGAGAGAATCTTCCACTAAATTTCTTTTGCTTAATTTTATTGCTAAGATCCTGTGAAATGTATCAAAAATTATTGACAGCAAGGAAGAATATACGGTTCTCAGTAAAGCTAGAGAGCACAATTTGTAAGTGAGATATTGGGGAATAAAAATTGTATGTTTGGAAATTTAAACATCTGGAGAATACGCGAAACAGAAAATAGACTGTCAAAGACAGAAATGTGAAGACAGACAGAAATAGCGACAGATACTGATCAAACTATTAAGTAAATGGTAAGGATATTAAAATGATCAAGAACGTATAGCGGCAGCCTTAAGGATAGAAAATGAATTCAGTATATATGCAACAATAGAAACATGCTTAAGACAAGGATGTGTCTTTTCACCGGACTTATTCAACCTATCCAGCAAGGCATTTATGAAGGAAGTAGAGGTTCTACCAGGATTCATTATTAGCAGCCATAATCTTTAGAGCATAAGATATACACATGACACTGTATTGCGAGTAGAAAAAAAAACCTACAATACCTCTTAGAGCATAAGGATAGAAAATGAATATCAAACAATAGAAAGATGTTTAAGACAAGGATGTGTCCTTTCACCGGACTTGTCAACTTATCATTATTAGCAGCCATAATCTTTGCAGCAGAAGGTGGTTTAGGAAATCGAGTAGAAACATATTTTGCACGAAGAAGAATTCAAAAACAATATCTAAAATTTGAATGTGTGCTTATACACGAAACAGAAGGATTATTGCTTTACCAATATTTTAAACTTGGATGAAACGACTGGCTACAATCATTTAAAAGCTGTTATTATGGACATAATTAAATTTTATTATGGTGAATAAAAATCAATGTTTTGATACAGTTATTCGAAAAC